TTCGTCTCAAACGTGGTTATTGACATAACAAGTCAAACCTTAAAATCTATATATATTTAAATATATAATCTAAGCTATAAATTGACCCCTAATAGTCAAAATACGTAGTTCACAAATTTAAATTCAAAATTTCAAAAGTTTAAATGAAAATTTTGACAACATTACACAAACAATATTATTTTTCGTGTTTACTAGATTCATTATTACCTTTAACTCGGCTGGTCAATACTCAATATGAGTGAAAGAGAACATGAAAATTGTCTTTTCCTGTAATTCAAATATACATACAAAGATGAACATGTTAATCTATTCACATTCAATTTTTATCAAAATTTAACTAATTACAACTAAACTTCACTATTTTCAATATTATCAATATAATCAAATAATACAAACAATCATTCTTATACAGACAGAGATGAGCATGTTTGTTTATAAAATAATCTATTCACATTCAATTTTTATTCAAAATTTAACTAATTATAATTAAACTTCACTATTTTCAATATTATCAATATAATCAAATAACACAAACAATAATTTTTATTCAAAATTTAACTAATTATAATTAAACTTCACTATTCTCAATATTATCAATATAATCAAATAATACAAACAATTATTCTTAAGTGTGATAACTGATAATTAATGAGTGGACCTTCAGCTTGTGGTGGACCTAAAAAACTAATGTTTGGTGTGGTCCAATTTCAGAATGCATCGTCGAATTCCATGTCGTCTCGTCTAGGTAAACTTAGCTCCTGATTGTATACCCAAAAAGAGCAAAAGGCCTTTAGAAGAAGGCAAGAAGCTATATGTATTCATATTTATTTTCGCTTCTGCCAGTTTTTCTACTGATTTTTTTTTTTTATTTTTTTTGTAAACGATAAAAAAGAAACAAGACGCTCATCATATTTACATATTATCTTTCAAATTCAACTATTTCCAGTGGCATATTTCTGGATGCAAATTTTATTCATCTTTTCATTTTACTTGATCATATTATCAAAATCAGCTCTCTCAAAATTCTGTCTTACAAAAATCTCTACCTCACTACTACCAAAAAAGACAAGAACAAGTCCAGTATAACAAAATATATCCAAACTCAAATCTCCTGGATTCAGATGAAAGAAAAATATACGAGGACTTCAGTTTAGCCCTCTCAATTTGTCTTTTGTATCTTCACGCTCTAATTCATCTGATATTTCAAAGGTCAGTTAACTGAAGATCAAATTGTACCAGGAAATGGAGAGAAGAAGATAGCCTGACACATTATTCCACTTGCACATGTCAAAACACCAAAATAATATAGAATCTCATGGGGAAAAAACAAAGCCTCAGACAAAACTATGTCCTGCAAAATTCTGCCACACAGCCCCAAGATCATTCATATAGTATCATAAAAAACCTTATTTATAATCAAAGTCCTCTGATGTTTGTCATTTTTTCTTGTATCTGCAAAACTCAAGGTTGGACGACAACAAAACTATACGGCAACTTTCTTGGATATTTGATTATGACCCTTCCAGCTATGGCTCTCCCATTTTTCATCCTCCTCATCTTCCAAGCTATCAGTACCAGTTGTTGAAGTAAACGGGCCCTGAGGCGAACTCAATTGGGAATTACTGGCCTTTGAGGGCTCACCACAGTTTTCATGAGATGCCCACAAACCTCCCAGCTCAGCGCCGGATGAAGGGTTTGCTGATAGAGTCACTCGTCTTGTGTGAAGGCGGTATTTCTGAAATGCAAGCAAAAAAGAAACTAAGTTTAAGTAAACAATTTAAACAACTTGTGGAGAAAAGAGAAAACAATTTCAAGGTGAACGCACTTGTAAATGACTCTTGACTTCATCGTTTGTGAGACCATCAACTTGCATAAGCTCTCTGATTTGCTTTGGGGTAGCAGCTGAAAAACATTCAACATAACCGAATGAGGCCACAAAACCAGAAAAACCTTCTAATTCCATGAAAAATCAAAAGGTCCAACTAAAAGAAACATCCCACAACATTGACCACACTAAATGTTCAGAGTATGAGACTATTTGTAATTTAAATGTGATAGAACAACAATTGAAAATGTAAAACTCAGAAAAAAGACAACTTAAACAAGCACTATATCTTAAAAAAAAAAAAAAAACTTGGCTTAATATCAACGCAAACCAAGCTTTATCACAGCAATCCCTGCTCTAAACAGATAACAACCAATCCAATTGAAAAATATACATCTAATCTCTTTCATAGAGTTTCAATTTTAGTACCTTGAGGACCTCCGAGTTGTTGCAGAGCACAAACAAACCGGCGATGCAATTCGGCTGACCAGCATCTCCTTTGCTTCCTATTGGTTTGTTCCTTACCACAGTGTTGATCATTAGTTGCAGATGAAGAACCTGATCTGTTACAGCTAGATTTTGGGCCAAAACTGACTGGCGAAATCTCTTCCTTTGAGCTCTTGATTTCAGGAGTACGAAGTGAAAGCTCCGTTACTCCCGACAGCTCGTTAATTGTTTTTTTGCCTAAATTCATCACCGGAAAAACATTGCATCCCTTCAGAGGCTCAAACCCCCTTTCGAATTTCCGGTTTTTACCATTTGGAAACAAATCATCCAATGGTCGGCTAATCACTTCCTCCTTTCTCTGTTCATCCAAAAAACAAGATAACAAAAAGACATATCATTGGTAAACAAAACCCCTATCAACAATACTTGTGAAATACAAAAGTTCTACCATGTTTCTTACTTTTTTATTGTGGCTGGAATTATCCGTACTGTTGGGATTACCATCGGAGTTCCATAACTGAACAGAGCTCATCCAATTCATTTTGTCACCGGTGATGGAGATGTCCTTTTCCTCAGCCGTCTCATCCTTTTCATCGGTGTTCTTTTCCTTTAATGGTATAAATTCTTCAATAATCGGCTTATCCATCGAGCTCTTGCACTGGATTAGCTCTTTCTTCACTGTCGCTATGACTGCAATGAAAATCAATCATCATCAAATCAGAAAACTCAGTAATTAAATACCAATACCGAGCATTTCTGGCTAGAAACACATACATCAAAAAATCGAAAGCAATAAAGCACGCACACACATACACACAGCTATCTACAGAATAGACGAGGTTCTTCAAATCTCACCATCGGTGAGGAGGAGCATACAAAGAGGCAGCGCCCTCTTAAACGCGTCGATCTTCTTCATCTCCTCCTGCAACCGATTAACGTAATCGTCAAGCTTCGAAACCTTCTCGGACACGCTTTGGGTTCTGGAGACCTCGAGAAGAAACTCTCCGGTCGATTTCGGAACCCAATATTCCGACGATAGGCTGCAATCCAAGGTAAGTTCCGGTGGATTCAACGATCCCATACTTTTCCGGCCAGATCTTGATGCGTGTGTATGTGGAAATAGAGAGAGATAGGTCAAGTATATAAAACGACAAAAGTGGAGCGGTGTGAATGGGCAAGGTTTAGAGAGAGAAACAATGGAGCGAGAAGATTCTGTGAAACAACGCCGAGTTTTGACAGAGGTTCTGCCAATATTTGCGTTTGTTTGTGGGCAGATAATTATCTTTTTTCTGATAGACGAAAAAACGAATAGAATAAATGAAATGGGGAAAAGTCTTTTTCTGGTCGTCGCGTATTTCATCCCTTTTTCTCTGTCTGTGAAAAAGGAAAAAATTAAAAAAGTCGAAGTCCACAACAAATTATAACTGTGAAAAATAGATATTATAACTGTGAAAAATAGATAGTAAATATTACATAAGGTAGGATGTGGTTCAAATGAGAACTAAGTTTTATTGTGAGAACCTATTTTTAATTGTGCATAGTGCTATGATTTATTGTATTTTGGTGCTATTTTTAACTAGGACAAATTTTATTAAAAATAGCACCACAATTTATATTTGCATTTGTGAAAATGATAGCATCATCTAATATTAAAAATAGCATCATATACAATTCAAAATAACAACAATTATGGTTCTCACGGTTCTCACACAAGGATTGGTTTTTATTTGAACCAACCCCATACAAAGTAAATATATAGTTATGACTTAGGAAATGATCGAATTTTGAGGAAAATGTACTTTCTTAAAGATAAATGATGTTTTTTTATCAGACAAATTATAACTGTGAAAAATAGACAGTAGATATTATACAAAGTAAATATATAGTTATGACTTAGGAAAGGATCGAATTTTGACGAAAATGTACTTTCTTGAAGATAAATGATATTTTTTATCAGTAAAAAATATTAGTACAATACCCGTGTATTACACGGGTGTTGAATTAGAAAGCTTTTGGAAAAAAGATTAAATTTTTTATTTCCTTAAAAACTAAAATAATTTAATTTTATATAAAACATTATTTTGGGTTTTAATTAAATTGTCAAATTATATTTTTTTAATCATAATAATTAAACACTCGTACATTAAATGAAAATATCAACCCGTGTTGAATTTGTTTACATATATCAATCGTGCTTCATATTTTGATAAATAAATTTAAATTTTATTTATAAACATATATATTACTGTTTTGTATTTTATATATATAATATGGATGTCAAATCAAAAATTCTTAAAAGATAGTTAATTTGATATCTCATATATCAAATATAAAATACAAACAAAAAAGTTATAAAATCTTAAAATAAGAAGAAGAAATATTTATAAAAAATTAATTATGGATTTAGTGTAATAAAAAATATAAATTTATATTCAGGCCTAACGAGAGTTTGTCACATAGGCTCAGCGCATTCTGAAATTATATATAGAGGGAATTTTATTAAATATTTTTCAGAAAACTTGTACGAGTGAAAATGCATCCTACAAAATTGAAAATACAATTTCTATGAGGCACACACGATAAGATCTTATATTATTGTTATAAATATATCACTCATTTACTTTCGGTGCAAGATTACAGCCTGGGTATTATCACATAGTTAGTTGCTTTGAATTCCACGACCCACCTTTTTTGAACTGAAAATCGTATTAAGAAATTTTATGGGAGTTCTTTTTATAGTTATCTTTCAAATGATTTTTGTATCTTTCTCAAGATCATACCTTTTTATATATTTCCATTATATAAAATAATTAATTTATTATTTTTTGATATGAGTAATTCACTTGATTTTGATACGTAACATAATAAATAAATTAATTTTCACGATTTGTACATAAACATATTAATGGAATAAATAAATAATAAAATATTATTTATTGTATTATTTTTTGATTTCATTATTTGTAAAATGGAAGATTTAAAAAGAAAAATCCTCAAATCATGTATGATAAATTAATTCTAAATAAAAAGAATTAAAATATAGAAAATATTAAGTTTCAATGATTCAAAATTAATTAACTAAACTCAAGAGTGATCAAGAGCACCCTAGCACTAGCCTTGCTTTAATTCGGAGAATATAAGGCAGGCATTGCGATTTGTTGGGCCCATTTTGGGCTCAATGCCTTGTGTGGAACCTATAGCGTCGCCAGCTCCCTATTCTGAGTCATGTCATGAAAACAGTCTCGAGCGTCATATTGGTTGCACTTGTTGGTAGCCAATGGCTAATGGTTCGGTTTGTATCTATTTCCGTCCAAACTTGTTAAGAAAAAATCTTGTAGTTATGTTTTTCTACATTTATAAATACCTTACATGTATTTTATTGTTTACTTGTAATTGGAAGAGCTTATTGCATTGTTTTAAAAGATCATATCCCATATGGT